TACAATGACACTGAAAAAAGTGCCCCCCCAAGCCACAGCCGAGCAAGACACCTGCCTGCCCACCCGGTGGTGGTCTTCCTCCTGTTCGAGGTTTTCATTGTTGTGAGCATTTCTGTTGGGGATTGGCAGCAGAGGTGGTTTGGGGGATGTTTGGTTTTTATTCCCCCCATCTGCTGGGTGGTTGCAGCAGGTTTTGGTCACTTCACATGACCCTGGGACACTGTGACCATCATAAATATGAATCAGTTGCCAAGCATCTGAATGTAAATCACAAGACCCTGGAGATGCTGCAATATTCCAGCTGATCGGCGCTTCTTCTGGGCTGAGCCAGGCGCTGATCCTGGTGCTTCCACTGAGCCCTGACAGCCCTGCAGCTCCAGCCATCTTTTGCTCAGGCTTGTGCGGTGCTGCCACTGGTTCAGCTCATTCCCCTCCCCCGCTACCACTTTTCTAGGATGATCGCGTACCACCTGCCAGGTGCCAATGTACCACAAGTGGTACCCGTACCACTGGTTGAAAAGCCGTGGTCTATATCACTGAAACCTAAACCCCATTTGCTCACCTCTATAGTGATGCCATTTATGTCAGCAAGACTTGGAAGGCATCAGCAAGTATTAACAAGAGTCTTCCAATAAAGATGCTTTCGCTGAATCCTAGATTCACTATTTTGACCATATTACTAATGAAGAAGTGCTCCAAAACAGTTTCTCCGGCAAACGACATAACATTGTCACACACAGAAGACTCCAACTTGCAGGTCATATTCTCTGCATGGGGAACAATCAAATTCCCAACATGGCAATGAATATGGACCTCCCCGATGCCAAACGACCAAAAGGATGCCCTTGAAATACATGGCAAAGAACGTTCATGGAAGACTTAAAGATTCTAAATATTACATGGGAAGACGGTGAAATACTTGCCTAAGACCAAAAATGCTGAAGTTCCATTGTTGACCGATATACTACATAGTATGGGAGGATTTAATGCTAATGTAATGAGTGAAGATTTTCTTAAAAGTAGGAAAATTGCATTTTTTAAAATATACATGGTACAAAAAGCATGATGATACTAAATCTCTAGAAAGCCAGGTTGTTATTCTGGAGAGGAAGACAGCTTTAAATACAGGTAGTCCTTGACTTATAATAATCTGTTTAATGACAGTTCAAAGTTACAATGGCTCTGAAAAAAGTGACTTATGACCGTTTTTCACACTTACAACCATTGCAGCATCCCCACAGTCATGGGATCAAAATTCAGATGCTTGGGAACTGGCATGTATTTATAACAACTGCAGTAATTCAGTATGGCAAAAATGGTTGTAAAATGGGGCAAAACTCAATACCTGTCCTGTTTAGGAACAGAAATGTTGGGCTCAGTTGTGGTCATAAGTCAAGGACTAATTATAATATAAAAAATGAGGTTTATTCTTTATTTAAAACAGTCTTAACCTCTCAAAATTCCCAACTGGCATGCAGAGATATGTATTACGAGGTATCATGCATTTTATATATTTAAAAATGTATTATGGAGGAAAGTACAGCAGGAAAAGTCACTTTATATAGGTAGTCTTGAACTTATGATCAGAATTGGGACCAGAATTTCTGTTGCTAAGCAAGGTGATTGTTAAGTGAATCATGAGGTTGTTAAGCAAATCCAGCTTCCCCCATTAGTTTTGCTTCTTTGAAGCTGGCTGGGAGGGCCACAAATGACAATCACGTGATCCTGGGATGCTGCAGTCCCTGTAAATGCAAGCTGGTTGCCAAGTGCCTGAATTTTGATCAGGTGACCATGGGGATACTACGACACTGGATAGTGCAAGAACCAGTTTTAAGTCACTTTTTTCAGTGGTGTTGTAACTCTGAACGGTCGCTAAATGAATGGTTGTAAGTCGAGGCCTCCCTGTATTGCAAAAGTCTATTGTTATGCTTTTGTGAAGTTGTGATTAGATACTTTGCAACAGTGCTTTTTTTGTAAAAAAAAAAAAAAAAAAGGGTGCCAGAACTCACGCAAGCTCTGGCTCCAGTTGAAAGTCCTTTACGGGAGGGGGGGGAAAAAAAAGAACCGCTTTAGGGAGCTTCCGAGGTGCAGATCACATGAGCAGCGTCAGCTGACAGATGCCATTGCCGCGGATTTTGAGAGGGCGCTTGTTCGGCATGTCTTCTGGCATCTCGTCCTCCTCCGCCTCTGATGACACTGAGGCTGCCTCGGGAGCGCGCCTGGTCTCTCAAAGAGATTTGCTCCAGGAGTCAGTCCTGGTCCCTGGTGGCCAACACGGGGGTGAGGACAGGCGGCAGTGGTGGTGGGGAGCCCCATGAACCAAGGCAGAAAAGAGGGTCTGCTTTCAGGGCCATGGAAGTATTTCTGGGTCGACCTTCGATGCCCCCGATTTCCCCAGGCAACTTCCTTTCACCAAGCCAGAGCTTTACTCACGCTGGCAGCTTAGAAGGAGCCGGTTCTTCCCTTCAAAAAAAGGTGCCAGAAGGCCATTCCGTGCGTTCTATGACAAAAAAGCTCTGCTTTGCAAGATTAGCAGGATACAAGAGGAAGAAAATAATCGCTCTGCAAAGTCCTGAGTCAGGCACCTATGGCACTCCCTCCAACTATGTTCTAATTAGAAGCCATTAAATTGCACTATCTATGCTATTGCTGTTTCTGCGCTCATTAAGAAAAGATTATTTCAAGGACTTGTGCTTAAACCTGTTTTTTCTATCTCCCTCTGCATGTTACACAATACGGTAGAAAAGCAACTTATAATTCCATTTGCCATTTTTTTTGCAGCCATATCAGTTTTAATTAATTACTGTCCTAATATCTTACTACTTGCCAAGCCAGGTAACTTCCATTCTATATCCATGACCATTCTATAATTAGTTTTAACTGTTTAGTTGGTCCGACTCTTGGCAACTTTATAGGCAAGTATTCTCCATGCTGCCCTGTCAAGCACAGCTTCTTTCAGTTGTTGGGTATTCAATCTTTGTATCAGCTTTAATGATTATCAAGCCAGCAAATTCCTTGCTTGACCATTCTTCTTGATCCACTAACGATTCCTAGCATCATTGCCTTTCCAATGAATTTGCACACGTGGCATGGCCAAAGAAAATCAGACGTGGTCTTGTGATTTTTAGCTTCTACTGATGTTTCTGGTTTTATATGATTCAGCACCTCTCTTTTGGTTGTTTTGGCTATCCATGGTATACACAATAATTTATACCAGCACCACAGTTCAAAGGCATCAATTCTTCTTCAAACAGCCATTCTTATTGTCTAACTCTCACACCAATACATCATTATTGGGAAGATTATTGCTCTAACTAACCTTTTTGTATTATATCAATATGTCTGCTTTTTCAGATCTTATTCGTGTTAACCATTGCAGTGCGCCCTAAGGTTTCCTGCATTTGATTTCAGAATAGAACTGCCATCTTGAACAATTCTTGATCCATTGATAAAAATTCAAACTACTTCAATTTCCTCCTTGCTGATTTTAAACACCCCATGTCCATATGCAGCTGTTGCCATTATCTTTATTTTCCTGATGTTAAGACTCAATCTTATTTTTTCACTATCATCCTTGATTTTTCATATCAATCTTTTCAGGGTCTTCCTTATTTTCCAGCCAACATTTTTATATCATCGGCTAGGGCAAATTATTTATGGTTCTTCCTCCAATCTTCATTCCCAGGTCTAATTTCTGCATGATCACTTCAGCATAAAGATTGAACAAAAATGGTGATAAAATACATCCCTATCTGCTCCCTTACTGATCCTGAACCAATCTGTGTTGCCATAGAGTGTTCTCACTGTTGCCTCCTGATCAGTGTACAGTGATCTAATAAGTCTGATCAGGTGGGTTGGGACACCAAGATCATGCTGAGCCCAGAAGAAGTGCCGATCAGCTGGAATGTTGCAGCCTCTCCAGGGTCTTGTGATTTACATTCAGATGCTTGGCAACTGATTCATATTTATGACGGTCACAGTGTCCCAGGGTCATGTGAAGTGACCAAAACCTGCTGCAGCCACCCAGCAGATGGGGGGGAATAAAAGCCAAACAGCCCCCCATCCCACCCCCACTGCCAATCCTCAACAGAAATGCTCACAACAATGAAAACCTCGGAGAGGAGAAAGAGCGCCGCTGGGTGGGCAGGCAGGTGTCCTGCTCGGCTGTGGCTTGGGGGGCACTTTTTTCAGTGCCATTGTAACTTCGAACAGTCACTAAGCAAACTGTTGTAAGTCGAGGACTACTTGTACTTTATCACTTTTTTCCTTTTTTTGGGGGGGGGGGTCATCAGGTTTTTGACACCTTGCTAGGCGACTGGTGGTACTCGGATGTTGCCATATCCTAAAAGTGGTACAATGGGTGAAAAGGTTGAAAAGCCCTGTATTAAGTAATTTATCTGGTCAAAATATGGGATAGTTAATCTGGAAAGATATGTTGTTGACAAATTCGCATTCACTTCTGGTAACTGTCATATTTTCAAGGTGCTTACAGATGGATGCCTTTATGATATGTTCTGGAATTGCCACAAATATAGCTCTTAAATTGACGGCCTGTAGTTCCTTAGTTATTTCTTCCTCTTTTGAAAGATAGGGATATTTGCCTGTTCCATTCATTTCATTCATTTGGCCCTTCATCTGTTCTCTAGGAGTTTAGAGATAATATATAAAATAGTATGTATTATTTATTAATAAATGAGAGAATGGCCAGACCATTCTCTCATTTATTAATACTTACATGGTTCCATATACATGGATGTTTTATTCATGGAATTTATGAACAGTTCTTTAAGCATCTAAATAGGCAATAATATCAATATCATTACTTCTGATTCTCTAGAGAAAAAAATGAGTTTATTTATGAGTAATTAGGAAATAAGATGGCTTAAATATTAGCCTGTGATTGCCTAATTCTTAATAAATTTCTCTGACACTGAATACAAAGTCCAGAATTTTTGCACATTATTTATGCCATGCCCTCAATCATTCACAGCCACTCCAAAATGTCTTCACCTCGGCTCCTGTACTTGGCAGTATTGCTGACTGTCGGTTCCACCTTTACGGTATGGTATTTTCATAGATGCTTCCTGACTTGATATAACTTTATTTTCCTTGCTTGAGTTTCTAAAAATGTCCAATTGCCATTGCAGATACGGAAGAGAGCAGAACATGAAGGTAAATCAAAACTCAAAATGAAATAAGTATCTTTTTCTAAGGTGGGAAGCATATAGTCTGAAGTAACTATCTGTAAAGAAATACATTTTTTTAAATAATATGTGTATTTATTTATCTAGAAGGGCACTCCTTAGATGAAGGAAAACCTAGGCAAGGCATCCCTGAAATCAATGCAGGTAAGCAAATTCATTCGAGAAAAATATTCTACTGTAAATTTATGTATATAAATGGGAAAAAAATACTTACTTGGGATCCACTGAAATCAATAGAATGAAGTAGACCTATAGAACATCAAAACGAAAAACCAATCAAGATAGCATGTTGGCTTCAGCTATTCTTTATGGTGAGGTCTGTTTTGATGTGAAGTTTTAAGTACTACAGTACTGAATCTGTCAGTGCCAAAAAAAAATTAGAAGCAGCGTAAGAGAATGAGGAAATTGGAAATATTTAGTCTGGAGAAGAAAAGTTTGAAGGAGGTATGACTGCATTCTTCATGTTTATGAACGGATTTCACACAGACGAAGAGTTGATTTGTTCTCTGAGGACAATTTTGGAGAAACAAATAAACTTGTTTATTTGCATAAACTTGCATCCTTAATTTCTTCTCCCTCTTCTCCACTGATCATATCTCCCTTATTATCACAAGTATTTTCCTTCATACCCATTACATTAGAGTATGCTTTGAAAGACTGTTTACGATAAAGGATCTACATCAATGTATGACTAATGACATCCAATATATGTCGATTCACTCTGTTGTGTCCAGTTAAAAAAATGTTCAAGCTAAATGTTTATAGGAATGCAGCAAAAATCTAGACTGATTCCCAGGCCTAGACATGGACATGTTTAGTAAACAGAAAAAAATTCTATTAAATGCTGGGATTTTTATCTGTGGATCTAAGATTTAGAGAACACAAAAATTCTAATGATTCTTTAAATAATGCTTTGCTCTTAATTATTGTTCGTTCTACATTTAGCAACTGGAAAGAAGTTTTTTGAAGGCGACATTATCATGCCGGTATGTAAGGTTGATCTACTTCTTTATCAAGAGGTTATGAAATAAACTTTTTAAAAAACATAGTTTAATTTTTTTAACAGCTTGACAGAAATGCACTGAGGGACGAATCCTATAGATGGAAACTTCCAATTCCATATAAAATGGGCGCCAGTATAGGTAACAAGACATTTTCTGTTCTACAAAACTAGATTGATTATTAGTTTGATGGATACAATGGATTAAGCAGTAAACTCCAATAGAGGGCAAATTTAGTGGATCATCTGCCCTTTTCCCCCTGCAACTCCCTAAAAATGTTCCTTCAGAGCTCCCTTCCTTAACTGAGTCCTCACTTCCTCTTGGGCTTCAATTTCAATGTTTCCAGCCAGCTCTTCCAGATGTCAGGCTTTTTAGTAGATAAAGACAAAATCTCCTTGAGCCTGACCCATTAGCTATTTCCATGTAACCTTCTTGGCAGCAATACGGAAGTGGTTTGCTTTCTTCCAGGATGTTTCTAGTCTAGCCCTGAAGAGAGGAAGGAGCACTGAGTGAGAAAGTAGTAGTGAGAAAGTATATATGAATGACTATTGAGAGAATCCTTCTAGTGGCATTCCATTTTATCCAATTTATTACTTTTTATATTGTTGTCAAAGTATATAATGCTTTTGTGGGTATCCACAAAGCCATGTAAAAATATCTTACATGTTTAATTTAAAAGTTGTAAATCTCTCAATATTTCTAAATAACATTGATCTCATTTGTCTACAGTCTGGATAAGAATATAAAATAGGCATTCTTTTTTTTCAGACCTGAATACCAAGGGCGTCATATTGCAAGCATTTGAGATGTTTCGACTCAAATCTTGCATTGACTTTAAACCCTATGAAGGAGAGAAGTCCTACCTCCAATTTGAAAAGATGGATGGGTAAATTTATTCAAACAAACAAGCTAATGTCATGACAGAAAGCTGTTGCATTTAAATAATTATTGCCCACAGTTAAAGTACACAAAATGATACTGTTTTCCTTCCCTCGTTCTTTATTGAAACCTAGTATAAGCACAAATTAGACTATTTCTCCTCCTTTCTGAAAGCATATAGACAGATTTTCTGTACAAGTCTATAGTTTCCCCTCTGTACGGTTTCTGTACATTCCTCTGTATCTCTGCATTTTTGCAAAACTCATAAATATTTGATATAAGTCCTGTTTATTAAGATCTGAATAGCCTTATGATGTATTAAGAACTATAAGAATAGGTAAATTACTAGATTTGTATTTGGTTGATGTAAAGCGGCATCAATATATTTTTTGAATGGATAACTTAGAAAAGTAAGATGGTATCCTATGTGGCGGATGGGGGACCTCTCCCTCTGCTATCATTTGGCTCCTCTAGCCTAAATAGCTATGTATATATATTAGTTGTATTAAATCAGCTATTTTGAATGAATGAACATATCATGGTAAAACAGATGCTGGTCTTATGTGGGAGATCTTCAGAATGGTCAGGTCGTTTCTATTGGATCACGCTGTGAATATAAAGAAACTGTGGAGCATGAGCTCCTGCATGCCCTTGGATTTTATCATGAACAGTCACGCACTGATCGAGATGACTATGTTAAGATTTGGTGGAATGAAATCATTGATGGTGAGTGGAAGGGACAGAAAAGATACTACAAAATAAGTAATGAATAATGTATTAATTGTTTAATAAAATATTAACACATTAATTGTCAAACTTGACTAAAAGCTTTGGTATTTTCTTTCCTAGGTCAGGCATATAATTTTGACAAATATGATGACAGTTTCATTTCTGATTTAAACACTCCATATGATTATGAATCTGTCCTGCATTATGGACCTTATTCATTCAATAAGAACAGTTCTGCCCCTTCAATTACAACAAAAATTCCCGAATTCAACAACATCATTGGGCAAAGCCAGGATCTGAGCAAGATAGATCTAGAAAGGCTTAACCGCATGTACCATTGTGGTAAGTTTACTCTATTATACTCAATTTTTTTATGTTATAGTAATCGTGAAACCTTACATCTTAAATATTCCTTAACAACAAAGAACAGTTAACAACAAGGTCTATTACCTTTAGATTACTTTAACCTGAAATGTGGGGGTATTTCCTGCAGCTTCCAGTCTTACTCTCCTTGACCAATGTTCATTTGAGTCCATCAATATCTGTGGTATGGTGCAAAACGGAAGAGACGACAAGGACTGGGAACATACCTTGACTGCAAGTCGGGATAACAACAACCACTGCTTAGGTAACATACTAGCATGTAATTTAAATGGATGAGAGTGGCTGTACAACTGGAAATCATTTGATAATGAAAGCCAGTAGGGAGGATATAGCATATGAAAAAAAGGAGAATTAAAATGTGACAAAGTAATCAGTAATGGAAATCTACTTATGATGAAAGATATACTTTTTTCTTATTATGTTCCTCCTGCAAATATATGGACATCAAAAAAAATTGTATGTTGTGGGCAGAAGGAGTAACCTTGAGGATCAGGAGGAAGAGCCACAACCAAGGCAATGGTCAAACAAAAGAAATCTGATCTGTGGCACAAATGCAATTTGAAAAAGTGTCTCAGAATTGACCCATCTCAGTTTTCAGAAAGAAGGAAGGAGAGGGAAGCATATTCAGATCTGCAAAACTGATGCCAGTCCTTTGAAGTAGACAGGGCTAGAAAGCCAAAGTTATGAACGCTAACATTACTTTTATTATAAGATTACAGTAACAGAATTTCACGAGTGCCTCAGTGAAATCCTGCACAGTTGTCCTAAAATGAATCATGGCCCACAGGACATTAAATCATCTTCATCTACTTTACAGAGAAAGGGTACGTTATGAGCTTCGATACCACAAAAGGCCTTTCAGGTGAAGCAGCCATTTTGGAGTCCCGTATTCTTTATCCAAGAAGAAATGAGAAGTGCCTACAATTTTTTTACAAATTTGATGGCAGTCCAAAAGATGAGCTGATTATATGGCTTAAAACTGATGATGGTACTGGAAATATTAGGAAGTCAATACAACTGAAAAGCATCCGTGGTAAGTTCTCAAGTAACCTTTGAAGATTTACTTCAAAGATTCAACTTTTATCTTTACTACTAAGCAAAATTTGGAACACACCTTGACAAAACTGTTGCTTCTCTGAGGTCAAGTAAAGGGCCCCAAACATTATTCATGGTATCACTTTACTTCTGCTAAATATCACTTTGAGATCATCGCAGGGAAAGTAGCATGAAATGGGTTGAATATGTAAATGAATCAAATATTAGATTTTCCCCTCTCCCCTTTCAGGTGATGGAGAGAAGCAGTGGAACTTTGCAAACATTCCTTTCAACAGCCAGACCAAATTCCGCTATGTTTTTCACGGCCTTAAAGGAGACCCACAACATTCCAAGGGAGGAATTCACATTGATGATATCACTCTGACTGAAACGCAATGTCCTGCTAGCGTTTGGCAGATAAGAAACTTCACTTCCATTTTAAAAAGTTCCTCAAAAGGAGATTATCTGCCAAGCCCCATCTTTTATAACTCTGAGGGCTATTGCTTTGTGCTCAGTCTCTATCCCCGTGGTGCATCCAACTCAAATGGAGATTACCTAGGACTCATGTTTTCTTTATGTAGTGGCAAGAATGATGGAGCATTAGAGTGGCCAGCTGGGAACAGGCAAGTGATATTCACCATAGTGGATCAAGATCCTGACGTCACCCAAAGGATGTCAGCAAGCCGAAGCTTTGTTACAGATCCCAACCAGCGTTACAGTAAGTCTAAGGGGTGTTTGGGTTGTGCAGAATTGATTGCTTTCTCTCTTATTTAGAAGCGTAATTCTAAGGATGCTAAAAATCTGTGCTAAAATAATCTCTATGACTGGATAGATTAAAATCAATTTGTATAGATTAAAAATCAGAATTATTGAAGATATTGTAGCATCAATAGGACAGAGCATTCACTAGGTTAGCAGGAGGAAGCAGCTCTAATTTTGTGCAGAATAGAACTCAACTATTGTATTCTATACCTCTTCCTCCATTTCTAATTTACTGAGTGAAATCCAATCTAAGGAAATGCTACAGATTCTTGGATTGGGGGTAAATTTGAGACAATCCCTGGAACCTATGACAAATTCAAGCGACAATAAGGTGTAAAAAAAATCAGGCATAACAGTATTTTTAGTTGGCACCTGAAAATAAAACAAAATGTTAGGCACCTGGAAATGTATCTACTAATAGTATTACAGGCTACTTTATTAATTCCCCCATCTCCCCCTTTTGGAAAAGCAGGTGCTTTCAGACCATGCCAATAATTGTTTATACCGTCATTTGACTCAAAGTTTATCAGTAGCATTTTTAAATTACAGTATGTCTCTGAAAATGAACTAGCATCTAGCTGCCTCTGTATTCACTGGCAAAATATAATGCAGAAACAGTAATAAACAAGAAGCTGTGTCTGAGCCAACTCTCCATTTTTCAGAAATAGCCATACGCTGTAACATGTGAAAATAATTATAATTAAAGTTATGGCAATTAGAATGTTTAAAGGAATTCTCTTGGAGAATAAGAAAGCTTATTACACAGATTTTAAAAAATAATGTACGGTAGATAGGACAACACTTCCCTCCCACCACCACTGAGGCAAAATTATCTTATATTCCAAATAGGTACTTTTTCTATAAAAAAAAAAGTTGGATGGGAATGTTGTGTCTGATTATTTGAATCTTATATACCCTACTAAAAATATTGGCAGTTGTATATATTGATCCACTTCAGTTTATTTATGGTTGTTTATTTTGCTTCATAGATGGCAAATTTTATTGGGATAAGGCCGACATTACTGGATTTTTTGATCCTTTGTATAACGCCCACGTAGGTCCAGGGTGGGGATGGCATTACATCTTGCCATATAGTGAATTGTATCGGAAAAATTATCTTAAAAATGACAATCTCATCATTTTTGCAAATTTTGAAGGTAAGTTCATTGTTATTTCACTGCAGTCTTTGAAAAATATAGCTGTACACAGGAAGATTTAAAATATTCAAAGCAGAGTTGCTTCATCTGAGTTTGAATTGTCGTTGGTTTGCCTACTTCTCCTATCTTAGTTTTACAAGTAGTTTTTATTGAGATGTTCTTTGAAAAGGCTGCACATCTTTTCAATATGTGTAGTTTTAAGGTGGGAAGATTCCAAGATAATTGATTCATTTTAAAGACCTTAGCCCGGTTAGGGAATATAGCTAAGTCCAATAAGTACCACATTTTCCTGGTAAAGAAAAAGCTGATATTTGGACTACATATGGTAGCAGAGCTGTAGCAGCAACACCAAGGCCAGGCACATATCAGGACAGAACAGTCGAGAGAATAAGAGTCCAACACCACGGAATGTCTGTATTGGACTCAGAAGGAAACAGGAAGCCCAGATAGAAATCGAAGAATGGACCGTGGGATCAGAGTGATAAGGGGGAAAAAATGACAGAAAAAAATGGACAGAGTATATGGAGGTGGTTTGGCAGGTATTTTAAGCAGAAAAAGTAGATAAGAGCACTGAGAACCTTTGGGTTTGATGTGATCAGACTGTTGTATAACTCTGATAGGTATCAGATGAGAAGGAGCAACTTGGAGCAAAAGGCAGAATGGAGAGAGGATGAATTACATACATTTTTTGATACAATTAATGTGAGGAGCGAAGGGAATCCCACAAGGGACAAAGAACATTGTTTTTAGTAAAGGCAAGCTCAAACAGTGCTCAGCACAATGTGTGGAATCCTCAATGCAAGATCCAGGATCAAAGGAAATGCTAGGGTGAGGGGACAAGAAATTTAGTCAGGATAGCTTGCCAGTCTGACTATTAAATCAGCAGCAACAGGCAGCGTGGACGATATGAACTATATTGGTAGGCTGGCCAGGTGATGACCATACATATTTAAACGTAGTTATTTTATTTGGATTCATGCAGAAAAAAAATCTGAGAACTATTTGGGCTTCATCGTAATATAAAATATAGATTAAGGAAATGATGTAGCTCTCTGGGTGTATGTCTGCATCTGGATCAGTTGCATGACTCACTTTCTATTTTTACACGGAAGCTCCACTTACTGGGCAGGAAACCTTTATCAGTTTTATTTCTCAAGTTCAAAGATCGTGTAATTTATCTTTCTGCTTCTTGCTGACAATTATAATTAAAAGCTTTGTTTCTCTTTTTTTTCTTCTGGTCATATCTGCAGTTATTCATGATCCAGGCAGAGTTTTATAAATTTTTGACAAACAAGTGTACGTCTCCTCTGCTTCCATCTGCTACCAGGAAGAATTTCTGACAGTTGACCTGTGGATTCACCTTTACTGACCCTGTTCCCTTGAAAACAGAGGTGGAAAATATAATGATAATAAAATGCACTGTTTCATGCGTTGGTCTTAATGTCTTTTGTCAAAAGGAGACAAGGATGTATCTCAGTCTACAATTCTTCAAACTTTGTTTATAACTGTGGCATAGTCCACATGTTGTATTTGCCAAAAATAGAATGTCTTTTTAAGCCATATAAACAACAGTTGAAATATGTAATAGTGAAAATTATTAATTACAGTGTCACATTAGGAGTTCAGTTCTTCATTAACTATATCTGAAGACAGTACAGACTTCTGTTTGAATAGAAATAGGTTTTATTTGGGATCAGCTGTTTTTGCAGATCCCTAAATAAAAACAAATTCAGTGAACAAACATTCAGGCATAACAGAGGGAGATTTTTAAAGAGAAAAAAGGTACATCAAGAGAATTACTGAAATAATGCCCTCCACTTAATATCAAATATGAGGATTTTTTTGCCTGCCAGATGCTATCTCAGGTGGCAGATTCTATGTTTCCATAGTAATACTGTAGACCAGGGTATCCCACTGTTCTTGAATTCGGGATCACACTTATCATTTTAGTGACATGTTAAAAAATATACTTCACTTTAAATTTAAATTTAATAATAATAAGGGTGGAAGGGACCTTGGAGGTCATCTAGTCCAACCACCTGCTCAGGCATGAAACCCTATACCATTTCAGACAAATGGCTGTCCAATCTCTTCTTAAAAACTTCCAGTGTTGGAGCATTCACAACTTCTGGAGGCAAGCTGTTCTACTGGTTAATTGTCCTCACTGTCAGGAAGTTTCTTCTTAGTTCTAGGTTGCTTCTCTCTTTGGTCAGTTTCCATCCGTTATTAAACCCAGTTAATGTATCTAATACATTTTTTATAATTCATTAAATGTTACAGTTCAAAAATCTTTGGGAGGTACTCAGAAGACCTCCAGACATGTTGAGGATTATCTAAACCAAACCAGTGCAAGGTGTTCTAACACTGTCCCTGACAGAAATCTCTCCATCTGGTTAAGAAACCAGGGCAGTCTATTTCATCAAAGATTTTTTTTTTTTTGCTTCTTCCAATGTCTACCCAGTTCCAATCATACACTCCAGAGCAGTGGCTCACAAATAGTCACATGCATGCCATAGATTGGAGTTATAGTTCAGGTAAAATATAGCATAGTCACTTCTAAATTTATTTAAATATATTAAATTTAATATTCATATATTATATGAATGAAATTTTTGTGTTAGAGTGAGCTTTAGATTCTTTGACAGAGTGATTGGCTAGATTTAAAAGTGGACCACTACGGCTCTAAAGCAACAGAGAACAATTCTGCATACTTCTTCATATTATACTTTCTGTTTATTCAGTCTCCTCTTCAGACTAAAGAAAATATTAAGTTGTTTCTTAATTTTATCATTTTTCACCACCCAACCATTTGTTCAACAGTGGAAACTCAACTTTTCAAAGTATTTTATTTTCAGAGTATTTAATTATTTGTCATGATCTTGTTACTAAAGAATCCCAGATCAATCACAATACACCATTTTCAGGGTAATATAGCTGAGTCCATATGATGTAAGGACAGAGGTCCCAAACCTTCCCTCCCAGAAGCCCTCTGGGTCTTTAGGTCTGGTTTTATCCCCTGTTATGGAGTTGCAGCTATTTTGCCACGAGGTGTCTTCCATGAGACGCCTTGGTGTATGAGAGAAGTAGGATGGTCACAACAGGTGCTGCCTTTCTAGCAATTAGGAAATCAGTATATGGAAGCTGAAAAAAAGCTCTATAAAGTTCTTGTTAAGTCCAGAGAATAATGGCGCTTGAAGCAAAGTATTTCCAACATGTCTTTATTCTCTGACTACAATCTACGAACAACCCGAGCAGAGGCACGCAGGGAGCAGAGGCACAACGAACAGAGGCACAACCCGAGCAGAGGCACAACCCGAGCAGAGGCACAACGAACAACCCGAGCAGAGGCACGCAGGCCTCTATTTATACCTTTTGATCCCCGGGCAATTCCAACCAATCACAAGGCGGACTTTTCCCGCCTTGCGCATGCGCGCAAGGCCAGCGCCGCTCAGTCTGGTCCCGGGCAGCTTTTGCAAATGCCCGGGACTCTTGCAACGTCCCGAGCCTGCTTCTGCAGGCTCAGGACACAACACCCCTCCCCCCTAGATAAAATAATACTGCGCCCAACATGGACGCCACCATGGTAAAGCGTGTGTTATTAACTGTTGCACTAATTTCACAGTGTGTGTGAGATATGGGGCCGTTCTGTCGTTCAGAGAACCAATGTGCCCCCACCCCGTTTCCACAGAGTCAACCAGTCTGGACATGTTCAAGTTGCTATATTCTTGCTCACCTTACGTAATCTGCAAGGTATTTGGGAGGGCCTTTGACCCGTAGCGACCTTCTCGGACCTGAGGAACTTGTAGTGTTTTCCCGGTTGCTTTCCACACTAGGTGAATTACCCTGTGGTTGTCTCGTGACTTCTGCCTGACTTTCCTGCCCGTCTCCTAGGCTCGCGAAGTCATGACTCTGCTGTTCACTGTACCTGGTTGACCTACCACCTATGGAGTTTTCCAAACCCTCTGAACTCATCTCAATGTTCCCTGAAGGTGTGTAATTTTCCTGGCTCCTTTCTGTAGTGATAGGGTCCAAGGATACCTCCTTGTTAGCCCTAATACGTGGGGACATCCTTCTGTGAGCCATTTCTGAAAAGGACATGTTCCTACCTTGTTGTGCCTGCTCTCTTGTATGTTGTGAGTTGTGAGTATGCTCCCAATCAGTCTCCAAGTCTGGAGTATTGTTGGTGAGGTGTGGATAGTTAGTATACCTCCGGTGTGACTCCCAGGCTGGAGTGCGTGTGGGGGTGTCTGTTTGCCCCCTGCCCCATGAATTTCTACTTGGAGCACATGCGGAACATGGGTGTTGTGTACCCGTGTTGTCCTCCACAGCCATTGTTGGCTGCTGATCCTGATTCCCAGAATGCATTTCCCATTCCTCCTCCCCCCCCAGAGGAGACTGAGGAGGAACCCTAGGCGAGTCCCGCCTCACACGTAGTTGATCAATGTGGCGGCGAAGAACGCGGCCGTCTTCCAATGACACCTCGTAGGACAGAGGCCCCGAGACCTTGCAAACCACAGCCGGGACCCAGAGGTGTCCAGGCCCGTAATTCCTGGCCCAGACAGGATCGCCTTCATGCAGGACCCGTGGTGGGTGTGGCTGCGACACCTGTGAAGCTACACGCTCCGGATGCAGCCTGTCCAATTTAGTCATGAGCCGACGACCCCAACGGAGTTCGGCCGGGCACTTACCCGTGGCAGTGCACGGAGTAGTACGATGGGCTAGAAGAAAGTCAGCCAACCTGTGATGCCAATTGCTGTAAGTCAGTTTCTTGAGGGCGTCCTTGGCGACGCGGACCATCCGTTCAGCCAGACCGTTGGTGGAAGGATGGAAAGGAGCCGAAGCAGCGTGGTGGATCATGTTGGCTTGTAGAAACCCCTGAAACTCAGTAGAAGTAAATTGAGGACCATTATCCGACACCAGAACATCTGGCAACCCATGTGCAGCAAAAATGTTTCTCAACACCTGAATGGTCTTGGCAGCGGTGGTAGATGACACAGGCACAACCTCCAGCCATTTGGAATGGCTATCAACAACAACCAGGAAGAATTGTCCCTGAAAGAGCCCAGCGTAATCTATATGTATTCTAGACCATGGAGTGTATGTTTCCTCCCACCTATGCACAGGGGCCTGGGGCATTTCTGGCCTGGACTGCTGACATGCATGACACCCATGTACCTGGGCCTCAATGGCCTGATCAATGCCAGGCCACCACAAATGGCTGCGTGCAAGCGCCTTCATCCTGACAATTCCAGGGTGGCCCTCATGTAATGAGACTAAGATTCTAGCCCTCAATGAGGCCGGAATCACAACTCTAGAGCCCCAGAGGAGGCAGCCATTGAAAGTGGACAACTCGTGCCTCTTGACCCAAAAATGTTGAAAGTCCTCCTCAGGGCATCTGTCAGGCCATCCTGACAGCACCCATGTCAGCACGCGTTTGAGTGTGTGATCAGTGGCAGTTTCAGCAGCCACATCCCTAGCATTAAGGGGACACTCAGGCAATTCCTGAATGGACAATATGTGTACATCAGGGGCAGGATCAGGCTCCACAGTAGGCAATGGCAGCCTACTTAATCCATCAGCATGACCCATTTCTCTGCCAGGCTTGTGAACTAGTGAATAGTCATAAGCTGACAGAAAAATGGACCAACGCAGCATACGAGGGGACAGGATGTGAGGTGTTTGTTTAGAGGTAGTGAATAACCCCAGCAAAGGCTTGTGGTCCGTAAAGACCGTGAAATGGCGGCCATAGATAAAATCATGGAACTTTTTAATTCCAGCCACAATAGCCAAATCCTCCCTATCAATTTGAGCATAGTTATGCTCAGCAGCAGACAATGTCCTAGAATAATATGCCACAGGGACCTGAGTCCCATCAGCCGTCAGATGGCTAAGCACAGCACCCACACCGTAGGGGGAAGCATCACAAGCCAGGCACACTGGCAACTGCTCATTAAAATGAGCTAACACCGCATTGGATGTAAGCAAGGCCTTAACCTCATTGAAACTGGCTTCATGGACTTTGGTCCAATGCCAACAGGTATTTTTGTCCAGAAGTCTGTGCAAGGGTTCAGCAATAGCAGCTTTATGAGGTAGAAAAACATGATAGAAATTCAGTAAGTCCAAAAAGGCTTGCAATTCGCCCTTAGACTTGGGGCTTGGAGCCTGCTGAATAGCTTTGAGCTTAGCATCAGACGGGTGTATACCCTGAGCATCTATCCTGAATCCCAGGAAATCAGTGGAATGCACACCAATCTTACATTTGTCCTGTTTTAATTTAAGGCCTGCTCTTCGGAAACGAAGCAAAACAGCCCTTAACCTCTCTGCCA